ATTCCTCCGCTGCGGACGCCACTGGCCCAGGCATCCACAACTCCGAAGAGGGGCGCGCGCCTGGGGGACCCGGCTCCCTTGCCTAGGGTCACTGAGGGCGCGCGGGCCACAAGCTCGCAGCCGCACGTGTTCCCACTCGGCCACCCGAGGGCCTGTGGCGAAGCTCTGGGCGGCCGGTCCATCGTCTCCCGGTGGGTTTGGCGAAAGAATCTGAGCCGCCCTCGGGGACTGGCAGGCCCAAGGCCAACTCGCGGGGGCGGCCTCGGGCGGGGACTCGGAGCCGCGGCCCGGCGCTAGCGTCCGGAGAAATGTCCCCTCTCCGACCCCGCCGCCCCAAGCCGGGCGGCACAGCCCACCCCCTTCCCTCCTGGCTGGCGCGCCCATCTCCTCCACTGCAGGCGCCCGAGGCGGCCCTCACTTCTCCAGACCACCCAGGGCCGCCCGCCCGACGGCCTCGGCGCTGCCCACCCCTCCACCCCCCCGCTCCGGGTCACGCCCGGAAGGCCCGAGGCCCCCGCGTCCGGCCACGCCATCCGCCGGGCGGCCCCAGGGACTCACAGCTAGGGTCAGCCCAGTCCCTGCCCATCGCTCCCGCCCCCCCCCCCTCCGCTGCCTGGTTCCTGGGGCCGCGCCCCCGCCCGCGCCTTCTCCGCTCACACCCGGACAGGGCGGGGGACCAGGGATCGCCCAGCTTCGGGGCGCGGCCTTCGGGCGCGCTTTACCTGGACGTGCGCGGCGCGCAAACTCAGGACGCGCTGGAGGATCCTGTCCGGCGCGCCGGCCCTGCGGGCGGGAAGCCCGGGCTTTGAAGCTACGCGGCCGAGCCAACCCTGCCCGTGGCCGCGGGCTGGCGGCAGTTGACCCCGGCGCCTCGGGTTTGCGGGCGAGACGTCGGGGCTCAGGACCGGCTGTGGCGAGGCGCTGGCGGACCCGCCTCCCCGCGGAGCGGGCTTTCTAGGGCTGGGCGAGGGGGCCGAGGGCGGGACGCGCAGGAGCCGCCGCGCGCCCGGCAGAGGCACCCGGAGCGCCCCGCCGTTCCGGGTCCCAGACCCCTTTCCCTCCCCGCCCCTGCTGGAAAGGGGGCCCGCGGCGCGGGGCGGTGCCGGGAGGGGCGCGCGGGGGCGCTGAGGGAACCGCGGCACTTTCTTCGTGTGGGGGAGGGGCGGGCAGCCGGGCTCCGCCCCCCGGGGGCAGCGGGGCGCGCGCGGGCCAATGGGGACCCGGGCAGGGGGCGGAGCCTCGCGGCCGCCACTTAAAGAAACTTGTTGCGGGTCCTCCGCCGGGACGGAGCTTCGGCGGCGGCGGCGGCAGCGGAGGGGCCGGGGTCGGGCTGTGGCGGCGGCGGCGGCGGAGAGGGCACGCAGGTCGGGCCACCGCGCGGCGACCTCGGGTCCCAGAGCGGCCGCAGCGCAGTCCGAGCAGCGGCCCCGCGGGTCCCGGTGCGCGCCCCTCCGCGCGCGGCCCTGATGCTGGACATGAGCGAGGCCCGTGCCCAGCCGCCCTGCAGCCCGTCCGGCACCGCCAGCTCCATGTCGCACGTGGAGGACTCGGACTCCGATGCGCCGCCGTCGCCTGCCGGTTCCGAGGGCCTGGGCCGCGCGGTGGGCGCGGGGGGCGGCGGCCGGGGCGACGCGGCCGAGGCGGCGGACGAACGCTTCCCGGCCTGCATCCGCGACGCCGTGTCGCAGGTGCTCAAGGGCTACGACTGGAGCCTGGTGCCCATGCCGGTGCGCGGCGGTGGCGGCGGCGCGCTGAAGGCCAAGCCTCACGTGAAGCGGCCCATGAACGCATTCATGGTGTGGGCGCAGGCGGCGCGCCGCAAGCTGGCCGATCAGTACCCGCACCTGCACAACGCGGAGCTCAGCAAGACGCTGGGCAAGCTGTGGCGGTGAGTGCGCGGTCCCCAGGCCCCGGGGGCGGGGACGGGAGCCCCAGCCGCGCGGGCGGGCCGGAGGGGGTCCTGGGGTTCGCAGGGGCTCTGGAGGTGGCCCCGCGCCCGGGCCTCGGCTCTGCTCCCAGTGGCTGTTCCCAGGGCGAGTTCCAGCGGACAACCGCCCTCCGGCCGCGTTGACTGCCCCCCCCCCCCCGGGTTACGCAGGTGGTCGGGGCCACAGAGGGCTGCAGGGCGAGCACGCAAGCCCTAGCGCACTCCCTCCCTCCAACAGCCTGCGAGAGGGGGACCCCACCTGGGATTGGCCCCCAAGCCCGAGGCCTGTGCCTCCCTGAGGAAAGGTGGCTTCTGTCCAGAAGCGGGACACGGTATCAGGCGAGGTGGTGCTGGCTGGAGGCGCCCCTCTTTCTAAAGGGCTCCCCTCCACTCTGACCACCATGTGCAAGAAGTCAAGGCAGACGGAGGGGGTGCACGTCTGCCCCGCGGGCACCTTCCCGACAGCTGCTCCATCGTCTGCCCGCGCTGCGCCCCTCGGCAAGGATAGCCTGGGGATGCAAGAGTGGTCGGGCACAAGCATGCTTTGTGCTCACTTGGGCATGGTGGAACCGGACGCTTGTGCAGAAAGTAGGGCCACAGCAGGGCTGCTTGCTGCTCAGAGCAGCCCGTCCCCACCAAGGGGGGGGGGTCTCCTTGGGTTTACATGGATGGCTTTGGGTTCCGGGCGCCGGTTCCCGTCTCCTGCCCCTCTCCTCGTGAGTGGGCCCTGGGAGTTTGCACGGATGTCCTCTGTGCCCTGTCCCACAGGCAGTTGGAGGTGAGCTCCTGGAAGGGTTTGAGGGGCCTGGCGTGTGTTGTGAGCCCCAGCGAGGACCACCGGTTTAGCCAGTGTTCCCGGAGGTCTGGGAAGCCCAGATGCCCACGGAGTCCCTCCCCGCCCGTTGCTCGTTCCGTTCCCGGGAAGCCTCGTTTGATCCACCGTGTGTTCTCAGCTGGGTTCTGCCTCCTCCCCCGCCTGCCTTAGAAAGCCCCAAAGGGAGGGGACTTACACAGTCTGGGGGCAGAGGGAAGTAAGAAGATGATGGAGCTGGAAAGCTTTGGGTTTCGTTCCAGCACGTTCCTTTGACCCTCACCAGAAGTCCTCACTGGCCCGAGCCCCCGTCCTCAGAAAGGGGGGCGCCCGCCTGGTGCCTGCTGAGGTGCGGGAGCACACACAGGCCTCCCTGTGGGCGTCGGGGGGGGGGGCCGGCGTGGGTGCCCTCACCGTGCCACCTCTGCCCTTGGTGCTGCAGCTTGCTGAGCGAAAGTGAGAAGCGCCCCTTTGTGGAGGAGGCGGAGCGGCTACGGGTCCAGCACAAGAAGGACCATCCGGATTACAAGTACCAGCCGCGCCGCAGGAAGAGCGTGAAAGCAGGCCAGGGCGACTCTGACTCCGGAGCCGAGCTGGGCCCCCATCCCAGCGGTGCCGTGTACAAGGCGGACGCGGGCCTCGGTGACGCGCACCACCACGGCGACCACACAGGTGGGCGCCCGGGGCCCCACAGCATTTGCCTGCCCCAGCAGGAGAAGTGGGGGGTCTGGCATCCGCTGTGAGATGAGCAGTGGGGTGGGCAGCAGGGGCTCGCTCCCAGGGCTGGTGTCCGCGTCGCCCCAAGGTCCCCCGTGCACACGGGGGTCTGCTTAGCCCCCTCTGAGCCCTGACGTTCTCACAACTTTTCCCTGGTCGGGTGCCGCATGACGTGGGCGTTTTCTGCTCCGCCTGGAGGCGTTTCTGCTTCCCCTGGCCTTTCTGCGGGTGCTGACCCAGCACTCACTCGTGTCCCCTGTGCGGTGGTCAGCAGCCCAGCCTCAAGATCAGACGGGCTGGAGGGGAGCCCCGGCCAGCCAAGCAGTCCCCGGGAAGCTGGCTACCGCCGTGAGCCTGGGGGAGAGTGAGCTTTGTGTGCGTGGCCTTGTGGTCACGTGCAAGGGGCCGGGCACTTCCTCTCCTTTCCCCCATCTTGGTCTTCTGGGGTAGGCGTGGGGGCCTCCGTGGCCCAGCTCTTCCTGCAGAACAGCGCTTAACGGAATTTCCTCGGCCGAGCAGTGAGGTCTGGGTCTGGCTCTGCTGGAATTTCTGGGAAACGTACAGAAACAAAAAGCCGTTGATTTCTACCTGCGGCAGTCAGCGGGCTGCTTTTCCTCCTGGGTGTGCGTCGCCAGCCGGCCGGCCCCCCACAGAAGGAGCATTCATGCCTGAAATGTGCTCTGTCCCCAGGGCAGACCCACGGGCCGCCCACCCCGCCCACCACCCCCAAGACGGACCTGCACCACGGGGGCAAGCCGGAGCTGAAGCCGGAAGGCCGCCGTCTGGCAGACAGCGGGCGCCAAAACATCGACTTCAGCAACGTGGACATCTCAGAGCTGAGCAGCGAGGTCATCGGCAACATGGACACCTTCGACGTGCGCGAGTTCGACCAGTACCTGCCCCTCAACGGCCACTCGGCCCTGCCCGCGGAGCCCGGCCAGCCCGCCACCGGCTCCTACGGGGGCGCCTCCTACTCACACTCGGGGGCAGCCGGCCTCGGGGCGTCCCCTGTGTGGGCCCACAAGGGAGCCCCGTCGGCCTCAGCGTCGCCCACCGAGACGGGCCCCCCGCGGCCGCACATCAAGACGGAGCAGCTGAGCCCCAGCCACTACGGCGACCAGTCGCATGGTTCCCCAGGC